GGTGTAGATCTGTACCTCGCAGGCTCCCAGGTCCTCGGCCAGTCTCAGTCCTGCGAGCAGGGCTTCGTATTCTGCCTGGTTGTTTGACGTCGGGAAGGAGAGAGCTAAGGAGTGCTCGATTACTATGCCTTCTTCGTTTTCCAGGAGGATTCCTGTGCCGCTTCCGGAAGAGCTGGATGCTCCGTCGACGAAGATGGTCCACTTGTGTTCTTTCCCCGGGGAAGGGTCGTGAGTGGTCATTTCCGCGACAAAGTCGGCCAAGGCCTGTGCTTTCAGGGCTTTCCTACTTTCGTACTGAATGTCGAATTCGGAGAGTTCCAAGGACCATTTTAGCATTCTGCCCGCCATATCGGGCCGACCCAGGGGTTGTCTCACTGGTTAGTCGGTTCGGACGATGATCGTGTGGGCCAGAAAGTAGTGTCTGAGCCTCCTCGCCGCATTGACGAGGGCCAGAGCCACCTTTTCTATCTGCTGGTATCTGCTTTCGGGCCCCTGTAAGGCCTTGCTCGTGAAGTAGACGGGTTTCTGCCCGTCGGGGGTCTCGCGGACAAGAGCTGCGCTGATGGCTTCGTTCGAAACGGCCAAGTACAAGTACAGCGGTTCCCCGTCGTCTGGTCGAGATAGCACGGGCGGCTGAGACAGACTTTGCTTTAGGTGGCGTAGTGCCTGCTTGCATTCCTCATTCCATTCGAAGGCTGCTTCCTTTCGAAGGAGTTTGAAGAAGGGGAGGACGTGTTGAGCGGATTTCGCGACGAAGCGTGACAGCGACGTGAGCATGCCGTTCATGATTTGTATCGACTTCTTCGACGTCGGTGTTGGGAGGTCAGAGAATGCACGGCATTTGTCGGGGTTGGCTTCGATTCCCCGTTCTGTTAGATAGAATCCAAGGAATTTTCCTGCCTTAACCCCGAACGTACATTTCTCGGGGTTGAACCTCATTTTACACTGTCTTGCTTGGGCAAAGACTGTCTTGAGATGAGCTGCGTGGTCGGTGTCTGCCCGGGACTTGACGATCATGTCGTCCATATATACCTCGAGCATGTCGCCGATCTGTTTGTTGAAAACTCTGTTCATCATGCGCTGGTAAGTTGCTCCGACATTTTTCAGTCCGAAGGGCATTACGTTGTAGTAATAGTTGCCCGAGCTGGTCATGAATGCCGTGCAGTGTTTGTCGCCCAGGGCCATTGGGATTTGGTTATAGCCTGAGTAGGCGTCCATGAACGATAAAGTTTTGTAGCCGGCCGAGTTTTCGACCAGCATATCTATGTTAGGCAAGGGAAAAGCATCTTTCGGGCAAGCCCGATTGAGATCAGTATAATCAACGCACATTCTCCATTTTCCATTATTCTTTTTCACGAGTACAACATTTGACAGCTAGGTGGAATACCGGGCTTCATAAATAAAATTTGCCTCTAGGAGGTCTTTTACAGCTTTTTCAGTAGCCTCTGTTTTTTCTGGAGACTGCCTACGCCTACGTTGTACTACGGCCCTAGCGGCTGGATCAATGGCGAGGTGGTGACAGGCGACCTCAGGGTCGAGTCCGGGCATCTCCGCAGCGCTCCAAGCGAACAGATCAGCATTCTCGCGCAGACAGGCCTTGATTTGCTTCCTGGCCAAGTCGGGGAGGTCTTTGCCAATCTTCACTCCCTTGGTCGGGTCTGTGCCGAGGGGAACGAGTTCAAAATCCCCGTCCGGTATTGGTCGGAGTGGGATTTGCCCGCTGCTGGATGGCTCGTCCTGATCGAAGCGGGTGTCCAGAGCTATGGAATCGACCTTTGGTGGAGCTTTCTGGACTTCTTCCTCGGGGGATGCTTTCCTGTCGGGCTCCTGTTTTGTCCTTTTGGTGGGTCTGGTCCCTATGTCGACGGTATCCCGTTCCTTAGAAGCGGCGTTGAAGCACCTGCGGGCAACGGCTAGGTCTCCTTGGATGGTGGCTACCCGTGCCCTCCTGGTGTAGAACTTCATCTTCAGGTGGACGGTCGAGGGCACCGCTGTTAGTTCTGCCAGTGTCGGTCTCCCCAAGATGCAGTTGTACAGAGACGGGCAGTCAATGACGAGGAAACGGACTTTAACTTGTCTCGTAGCCGTTCCTTCGCCGAACGTAACCAGGAGCTCGACATAACCCCAAGGTTTGGAAGTCGAGACGTTGAAGCCTTGTAGATCCGACCCCACATATGGAGAGAGATGTGAGTCGTCCAGTTGTAGGGTTCGGAACAGTTGGCTGTACATCACGTCGATGGAACTCCCTTCGTCGACCAGGATGCGATGCACGTCAAAATTGGCCATTCTTGCCCTTATCAGTAAGGGGATGACCGCGTTCGGGGCTTCGCCGGGGAGCTCTTCTAGGTAGAAGGTGATGGGCTCCGACCTGCCCTTCACCCTTTCGAACGTTACTGTTTGCGGGGGAGCCGCGTCGACCAGCTCGTCCAACTTCCTCTTAGCTGAATTGATGGTGAGGTCGTTGAACCCGCCCCCATTAATGACCATGGCGGAGGGAAAGTATTCCCACCTGCTGTGCGTTGTCAGCGGTTCCTGCAGGTGCTCGGGAATGTCGAAGTCCTCGGGCCTGGTCACTGAGAAGGCGGTCTGGATAGGCACCGACTCGTCTGATGGTCGGGCATCTTCTTCTGGCTCCTTGGCTTCATGGGCGTCACGACGAGGAGCGTCGTTTCGCCGGTACTGCGCGAGCCTCCCTCCCTTAATGAGGGTTTCAATGGCGTCCTTGAGGTGGACGCAGTCCTCTGTCAGATGACCATGACTCCTATGGTATTGACAATATTTATTTTTGTCCGCCCCAGGCTTGGCGGGAGCAGGTCGGGGACGCTTGACGCCGCCATCCTTGAAGTCTGTACTGGCACACTCCGCCAGGATACGCTCGTGGGAAGCTGTGAGCGGAGTGTACTCGGTGAAACGGCCCGAGGGGCCCCTTTGTTCCCGGTCTTATCGGGGTCTGTCTTCTTTCCTTTTCTCCCCGGTTCGTCGAGGAGGAGCCTCTTGGCGCGAGCTGCTGTTGTTGGGACCCCGAGTCCTGGAATCTCGGGCCCTGTTGGCCGCTTCCCTCTCCTCGTAATCCATGTATGCCCGAGCTTTTTCGAGGAGGGCGTCGAAAGACCTGGGCGGCTCGATTCCCACGGCTTTTCTGAACTCTGTGCCGGGGAGGAGCCCCCTCTCCAGCAGATATCTCTTCATGTGGTCCGTGCAGGGGACCTGTATCGCTTCTCGGTTGATGAACTCCCTCAAGGTCTCATCCTGTCTTTGGATGATGGCCTCGAGCTCCGCCTCGGTCTTTGGATGGCGTCGAGAAGCGGTGAAGGAACTGATGAACTGGTTCTTCAGGTTCCGCCACGAGGTGATTGAGCCCGGAGCGAACCCTTTGTACCAGTCCATGGCCGCCTTCCTGAGAGTCGTGGGGAAAAGACAACACTTGATGGGACCCCGACATTATGATAATGGAGCATAGCCTCGAACCCGTCAATATAGTCAATCGGGTCCGCGACTCCATCGTACTCCTTCAGATGTGGGGGCTTCTCCATGCCCGGGGGGATGGGTGCATCCATGATGGCCTGCGACAGAGGACCACAGGGGTCGTCCTCGTTGCTCCTCTCCGGAGACAGATATGGGGACCTGTAGTATTGTCTGGCACGGTGGTCGTGCTGAGTCTCCCTCGAGCGTGATGCTCGTTGGTTGAATGTTACACGCTCGTCTCCGGCGTGTCTCTTGTCGTGCCTTACCGGGTCGCGACTGGGTTCTACGGCAGGGATGACGGGCTCTCTCTCCAAATAGGGTCGCCTCTGCTTTGGCCGGGGAGATGGGCTTCGAGAGGTCTCCCTGTAGTGTCTCCGCGGGGGAGAAGGGTGTCGGGCTTCAGTCACTCGAGGAGGGGGAGTATGTGGTCTCCGATGCCTCCTCAAGGGTCTTCGCTCGTCTTCAAGCGCCTTTAATCTCTCTCCTTGGGCGAAGATGAGATAGTTCGTTTGATTAATTGCTGCGAACAACGCTTGTGTGGTGGCATCCGCCCCGGAGGGGACGGGGACTTCCTGAAACCGGGCGACTCTATAGTGGGCGAGGGCCGCCGGGTCGTCCTCGAGTGGTGGTGGGAGCGAGGAGGATGATGCAGTAGCCCCGTCCCTGTATGAGGAAGTTCCGGGGACGGTTGTTGCAGGAATGGTGTTGTGGCCGGGATTGCCAGCGTTGTCGAGATGTCCGTTCTTGTCCGCCGTGCCGTTATTTGTGTCGGCGACACGGACGTTCTGCTCATCGCGAGCTGGATCAGCCATGACAGGTAGTTGAATATGAGCTTTGGTCTTTTGAGCTGTTTGTAAGACGGGGAAGCTAGTTTCCCACAGACGGCGCCACTGATCTAACCTGATCAGACTTGGACCTTCACGGCTGGCTCCGAGCTGAAAGTTTTGAACGAGGTGGGGGGGGGGGGGGGGGTACCTGCAAGACACTCCGATGCTACAGTAAGTAAGAGCACGAGCAGGCAATAGTAAGTATGGGTAGAATGATGAATACCTGACCCTCTGGAAACAGAGGGTATTTATAGCCCCCAGCGCTGGGCCAAGGTTCCTTCATTGGGCCGGGCAGGTTTGGCCCAATGGAGGAACTTCCAGGTTCTACGTGCGTAGTGGGGACCCGCACGTGGTCCCCTCCCTGGATGTTCTGCGTGAAGTGCGGGCGGACAGAGACGCGGTCTTTTCGGGGTCTCGTTGGGAGTGCAGTGGACTGTGTCTGCCCTAGTTGGGGTGCTCGAGGTGATGTCGAGCTGGACAGCAGGATGTCGAGCTGGACATTGGAGGTCGAGCAAGTAACCTCATGGAGCACGTCGGACACGACTGTGACCCTTTGGTCGGCGTAGCCCTCAGCAAGTCCGTTTGGATTGGGTCTTATCAATGCTATTGGGCCTGTCGGGCCCAGTCCAGAACAACATCAAACTATTGTGTAGAAAGTTAGTCATCAAAATGTTAAAAATATAGCTCAAACTTAAATGGAGACATTGAATGGGGAATAAAGGCTTTGTTCTTATAAGAGAAAAAACTGTATTCTTTTTTAAATTATTCTAAGTGAATATTAAATTGTGTTACTTTATTAATAGTCTCATACACTTTGTTTTACTTGGTTTAGCGTGAAAGTAATGAAGATAAAGAACCTCCGACTCAAGCTGAAATGTTCATTGCTACTCGAGAAAGTAGGAAAGGAAAGGAGTTGAATCAAGAAACCAATCATGTAATTGTAAGTATTGTTGTGAGTTGTTGTCGATCTTGTTTGTTTGAAAATTAGGATAGATAAAAAAGATGTGTGCTTTGGCAACCGATTTGAATTGCAACTAACCACACATAAACCAAACCAAACCATTGTTTTTAAAACCTGAAAACTGATATTGTATTAGAACCCAGCCATGAAAACTTGTTACCATGCTATAATATGTTTATCTACAATTGCAAATAATAATGATATAAATTCAGTTATATATCCTAACAAACTAATCAAGGTAAACCTTCTTCAGAAGCTTTTGAAAGTGTATTGGGCAAACAAAAACCTGGGAGAGTGTCTTTCCACGGAAGAATCACAAGACTGACTCTCTTGAAAAGAAATGAAGAAATTGTAAAACTTAAAAGAGATCATGATGCTGAGGTTAAGCATGTGATACAAGAGATGGAGGAGAAACATTGTCAAGAGGAGGAAACAGAAAGAAGAATTCAACTTCTTCTTAAGACCGTTCTGAATCAAAACACCTCAGATTTGGATATAGAGGCTTTGGCAGCTTTTATATCAGCTCCTACAACTGATGCTAATAGTGTCTTACATTCTTCTACGTCAACACATGCTCTAACTAATGATCAAGTTTTTCTAGTGATTCAAGATGTTATATTGATTAGGATGATGATTAACGTTATAGAGTTTAAGTTTACTTTTAGAGATTCAAAATGTTATTTATATATAATGATGTTATTTTGTTATTTGATTTTTAAAAGATTTAATATCATATTTAAATTTGTTTCTGAATATTCTTATATAAAAAAAGTGAATGATGAATGATATTACTTATCAGGTTTAAAAAACAAACTAATTTTATATTTAAAAAAAAAAAACTTTTGCAACGGTTAGGAAGTGTTGTTGTAGTTATAAACCGTTGTTGTAATTGAAGAAGAAATTGAAATTATGGTCTATCACAACGGCTCATCATGGACTACGGTAACAAATTGTTGCTATAGCAAGTAAAACTACCGTTCCTTAAACTGAATCATTTGCAACTGTTAGTTTTCAATGGTTATAATTTGCAAACGGGTGAAACCGTTTTTGTTTCGCACCATTCTCTAAATAATATTAAACAACGTTTATATTTAAGACGTTGTCGTTGAATAAACAAGTGTTGTGAAAGGATCACGGAACACTTCAGATTGGCATAGTCTGAAAATCGTTCTGATAGGCAACGACAACGGATTTGTTAGATTTTGCAACGGTTTTTGGCTATTTTCATATAGCTAAAATATTGTAGTGGAAGAATTGTGATACGGTAGGAGAACTCACTTGGGAGTTTTGTGTTTTATCGCAAATATTGCGAATAGCAAGAGTCGCCACAAACTTTTATTTTATCCAATAAAGGAAAGGGTGAAAAGAACAGGAAAGTCATTTTGAGAATTTTCTTGAGTTCGGGGGGTAGGTTATGAAAAGAAAAGGTGTTAGCACCCTTTTCATTCATAGTTATCTACGGACTCTTAATTGCTTGATCACTTTAAAATGCTTTGTGTTTGTGTAAGTTTGAAAACATTTTGAAAATACCTAAGTTTGGAAAACTTTGTAATGATTCTCGTATCGTTGATAATGTATACAAAGTGTTTGATTTTGAAAATATTTGTTAAAAGCGAATGCTTTGAAAGATGTTTTTGTAAATGCCAATGTAAGGCAATTTTGTAATGTTTCTCGTATCGTTGAGAATGTATACAAATGTTTATTTGAAAAGTGTTTTTGAAAGTGTGAGGTGTAAATGATTTTGTTTGTGAGCAAGCAATTACGAGCAATCTACCAACTCAAAGAGTCTTTGTTCTTTTCCTCCTCCTTTAGATAATACTATTTTACCATTGATTAGTAAGGAGCCTTATCATTGGATGTGAGGGACAAACGTGGGTCATCGTACAATCATTGAAGACAACTTGTAAGATGTTTTAGTAGTTGTCATAAGGGACTAAGATCATTTATCGAAGACAACATTTGAAGGGTCATCGATGAACTATGATCTTTTAATCGAGGGTCTTTTGCTAAAACATCACATGTTCGAGGGACATGACTGTTTTTATCCGAGGCAACAAGTGTGGGTTACCCTAGAGGTGTATGTGTGCAAAGTGTGTTTGTTTTCATGTATTTATCTTGAATTAAGATTGTCTATGATTGGTTTTAAAGTCTTATCATATAAACCCTAATTACTAGCAATGATAAGGAAAGCGATAAATTATGGAATTTAAATGTCCTACGCTATTACAATACTTTAGGACGGGAGAAACAAATTTACAAATGAGGATAACAAATAAAATAAACCCTAATTATTGTTACAAGACTTTGACAATTACATAAGTTATAATGCGCGAGAATCGTATAAAGGAAAATAATTTTTTTGGGTGGGTTTTTGATAGAAAAGGTTTTAATTAACTTAACTAATCTAATTAATTTACAAGGGAAGTCAATTAATTATTTAACAAAACCTAAAATCTAATTTAATTACAAAATAAAACCTAAACCTAATTATTTTTAATTCTAAAAAAGAGATTAATTAGTTAAGAAAATATTTTGTGTTTTATTTAAGTAATGAATCCTAAATCAAATATTTTACAACCTAAGTGAATTTTAAAAAAATAAACAATTAATTAAATTAAACAATCTATTTAATAAAATTAATTAGTAAAATAATTAATAATATAAAAATAATATTTTTTTAGTTTAATTATTTAGCTAAAAAACGTTTATGTATTTTTTTTGTATTCTTAATATAAAGAAAATTAAAATAACTAACAAAATAAATAAACCAAATTAAAAAAAATAATTATAAGAGTAAAACTAAAATCAAATGGGTCGGAACTTAAGCAAACAGGGGGGTGGGATCTGGAAATTTGGTTGGACTAAGGGGAAAGGCCCAGAGTTTTTATGTTACTGAAAATAAAATAATAAAAAGGTGTGTTGAAGTGTGAACGGACTGGGCTAGCTGTAAAGAGTTTGAATGAGCTTAGG